ATTACCATGTGATTTATATTAATTAGCATATTTTTATTAGTGAATTTCTTTTAAATATATCATGAAATATTAAAGTTTACTAATTTTTAACATATCCTTAAAAGTCATTTTACATTTTTAATGGCTTATAAACTAGTTTGTGTCAAACGTAATTAATTTATCATCTAATAACTAGTTTACTAGTCATCAACTAATTTGACAAACGTAGCTTAAAACAGAAACCTTATCTACTTTTTTAATATTATTTTGGACTAAATATACTAAATAACAACCTATGAGCATAAGTTTCTTGACCTATCTTCTCGTAGGAATACCTCCCATTTATTTCCTGTCATTCACTTCATTTCCTTCCATTCATATTTTCCCTCTCTCTTTTTCTAATCACCCCCCCGCCCCCCAAAACAACAAGTAGATCCGACTTTTTTTCTTGAAGTAAATGTTAAATAATATATATATATAGGGAAATATTCAAACGAGAACACTTTTATTTTACGAGAACACTCTTTTACAATAGACAATCACATGTGATACTATTATTCCGTCACATATGATACACATGTGATACTAAATCAGAGACGCAGATGATTTCCGATGCGATCTTGATTGCGAGCCAAGTCGCCCTTACACCACTAAGCCCCCTCACAAGTATTATCACATGTGATAAGGGTGTTGTTGATCGATATGATACTATAATCCATCAAAACCATCACATGTGATGCTAAATCATAGACGCAGACAACCTTTGGCGCAGCCTAAGTCGTAACACACTTCGTCCGCACATCACAGGGTCCCCTCACGCGTATTATCACATGTGATAAGGGTGTTCTCGCTTCTCGTAAAATGAAGGTGTTCTCGTTTAAACCTCCACACACACACACACACACACATATATATATATATATATATATATATATGAGAATCTTTGTGTGTTTTATTAGGTAGTATTTGGTACACAAACATGATTAAACTGGACTGGGCATGATTGGACAAGACAAGAGGGAAGGACTGGACAAGACTGGACAAGACTGGACATATCAGAACAAGTGTATGTTTGTGTTTGGTACGACTAGAACCGGACAGAACAAAACTAGACAAATTGTCTCCAAAAATTATTTGATAATTTTATACACACCATATAATAATTATAATTAACACAAATAAATTAAATAATTAAATAATTTAATTTATAAACATTTTTACACAATTTCATATACATAAATACACATATACAATGGTGGTGGTGGTGTTGGTGGTTATGGTGGAACCAGATGTGGAGGTGGTATTGGTTATGTAGATGGTGGAGGTGGTATTGGTTATGTAGATGGTGGAGGTGGTGGTGACCGAGAGTACTAGTGGTAATGGTTGTGAACAGTAGTGGTTGTGGAGGATGTGAAGATGGTAGATAGTAGTGGTGGTGGGGGAGGTGGTGTGGAGGACGTGAAGATGGTGGTAGTGGTGGTGGCGATGAACGGTGGTGGTCCA